CACTGCCAGGACACCACCTCTGCAGTCTCCACCCCCTCCCACTGTCTACACACACACACACACACACACACTGCCAGGACACCACCTCCGCCGCCCGCCCCCTCCTCTCCCCCCCCACTGCTAGGGCGTCCTGTGCTTGCACCACTGTGGTGTTATACTCACCTCAGCCACCTCTCCGCATGTTCCCTCAGAGGAGCTTCTCCACTCGGAACACTTGGGTCCCAGTGAGCTGGAGGCCTCTGTGCCCGGAAGCAGCAGTGAGGACAAGAGTGGGCTTCCGGAAGCCAAGGATGGTGAGTGAACCTGGGTACAGAAGGGCTGGCTGCCTTGGGAGTCAAGCCTGGGTTCCTTCTCTTTGCAGCGTTGGAGCCCTTGGCCTGAAGGAGGAGGCCGTTGAGGAACCAGGGTTTGTGCACACTAGGCAAGCGCTCTTCCACTCAGCGCCAGCCCTCTGTCCCCTTCCCCTCTTTTCCTCTAGGACAGTCTAAGTTGCCCGGGCAGGCCTTGAACTTTTGATGCTACCACTTCAGCGTCCCTAGTTGCTGAGATGACAGGCCTGTGCCAGGAGGCCCAACTCAGCTCTCAGATTGTTGATACAGGCTCTCACTCTGTAGCTCAGGCTGACCTAGAACTCACTATTTAGCCTAGGCTGGCCTCAAACTCACGGCCTAGCTTTGCAAGTGCTGAGGTTGCAGAGGTGTGTACCACCGTACCCAGCATGCCACCTTCTTTCTAATTCTCCAAGGTCTGAGGGGGGGGGGGTGTGCCACCACAATGGGCGGGGAGGAATAAGGAGGGATCTGTGGGGGTGTGGGGCCTCTGTAGGGTTCCTGGTGCTGGGGGGTTCTCTATGCTTCCATTCATGACTTCCTCTCTTGACCGTTTCTCCCATCATCTTGTCTCCTCCTGCCGGCAGACACCCCAGTGACCCTTCCAAAAGGTCAGTGTCACACAGCAGAGACCCCAGCCCCTAAATCCCACTGAACCCTAAGCCATAAGGGGAAAGGCCTGCATACAGCAGGAAGCCCAGGCCTCCTGGGGTGGGGTCGGTGCCCTTTCTGACCCCTCTGGAGGTGTCCGAACCCTTGAGATGTGACTTGGGTGGGGTGGGGTCCACAGATCCAGAATCTTCCTCCTCTGGGAAAGAGAAGCCGTCCCCACTGGAGCAGTATGAGCAAAAGGTAAGCGGGACCTCAGTCTCCCAAGATAATGAGGCTCTGGACCCTGGGGGGAGGGAAGGTTCTGGAAGCTTGCTGGGGATGTGGACTGAGTGTTGCTGGGTGCAGAAATACCCTCCTGGGCCTTGGGGTCATAAAACAGGGTAGTGACATCTGCTCCCCAGGTGAATGCATCTGTCCCAAGGGGCTTCCCCTTCCACGCATCAGATATCCAGCGGGATGAACTGGTAAGAGGAGGCTGAGCCTGGGGGGCGGGGGTTCAGAGGTCCGCGTCCAGGCTGTGTCCTCCAAAGCTGCCCTGGCTCCTGGTGGGCCTCAGTGATACTCTTGGTCTCAACTCCTCTCCCCACAGGCCCCCGCCGGGACGGGAGTATCCCGAGAGGCTGTGTCAGGTCTGCTGATCATGGGAGCTGGAGGGGGTTCGCTCATAGTTCTGTCCTTGCTGCTTCTGCGGAAGAAGAAACCCTACGGGACTATCAGCCATGGAGTGGTGGAGGTGAGAGGTGTAGCCATCATGGTGGGGTAGGAGTGCAGTGAGCTCGGTTGGTGCATTGAGCCCTTCCCTGGCCGTTTGCAGGTGGACCCCATGCTGACCCTGGAGGAGCAGCAACTCCGGGAACTTCAGCGGCATGGCTATGAGAACCCCACCTACCGCTTCCTGGAGGAACGACCCTGACCCCACCCCCTGACCCCACCCCGGCTGCCTTCAGCTGAGCCCAGACTGCCCTCTTCCTGGCCCTCAGTCCCGACTCCCAGCCTCCGGTGGGGGAGGGAGAACTTGACAAATTCATTCTTATTTCCCTTTCCCAGTTCCAAATTCCACCCCACTTAAAAGTTCCCAGCTCCGCCCTACAGGGGACCTCCTCACCTTAATTTATTTTATGTTAATTTATTGTTCCTTGAGGTGACCACCACCTGGGTCCCAGTGTGTGTTGCTCCCTGGAATCCATCCCATGCTTCTTCACTAACACCCCAATAAAGTCGTCTTCCCCACCACCAGGCCGTCCCGTGTTTCTGTTGGAGGATGGCTGTTCATCTTTTTCAGCCTAGACTTCCTGAGTCTTTAAACTGGGTGAGGGGTGGATGTGGTGCCACACAACTTTAATCCCAGCCCTCAGGGGGCGACAGATGTCTGTGAGAGTTCCAGGGCATCCTGGAATACGTAGAGAAGCTCTGTCTCAAAAAACCAAAACAACCACCAAACCAAACAAACCTGGATGTGGGTGCTTTAAATCTGGGTGGGGCCTGTGGGAAGGACGACCGCGGAGGGGCGGGACCCAGAGGCCTGGGCTCGGTTTTTCCCCTAGCCTGCCGAGGAGCTTTCCGTGGTGCTGAATGGGTCGCTACTCCAAGCTCAGAGTCGTCAGGGTGGACCATCTGCCTCAGCCCCCCTCTTTCCCTTTCCTCTGGTTCTTTTTCCCACTATAAATTTAAAAAAAAAAATTGGGGGCGTGGCGGGGCATGCGTGCCACGCTGTGTGAGTGGAGGTGAGAAGGGAACCTGCAGGAGCTGCCTTCCACATGTGGGTCCTGGGGAGGCTTGGAGGCCAGTACCTTTACCGATAAGCCATGTCCAAGGCCCTTCTCCAGCCTTCTGGTTACAGTCAACACCGCACCCATTACAATCTTCCAGCTCTGGGAATGAAGGACTGGAAATATATGCATGCTTGTTTAAAAAAATTTTTTTTGAGACAGGGTCTCACTACGTAGCCCTAGCTGTCCTGGATCTCACTATATAGACCAGGCTGGCCTCGAACTCAGAGAGATCCACTTTCCTCTGTCTCCTAAGTGGATATTCCAAGGTCTACCTGTGCATACTAGTCATGTACTCTGCCATGGAGCTACATTTCCAGCCCCTGGCAATCCACTCCAGTGTCCCAGCAGGACCTGCTGAATGCTCACACTCCAGCTTGTGATATGTTAGAATTAGCCCTCTCTACATGCTGTCCCCTGTCCCAAGACAGCTGTTTAGAGGAGTCAGGGGTGATGTATGGAGGTATTTTAACAGTACCTGCTACTTAGCAAGTTTTCGCCCAGTGACTTTTAAAACATTAAGCAGAGACTGGGGGCTGTAGCTCAGGCCTCAGTGCTTACCAAGCACGCATCGAAGCCCCGAGCCCAACCCCATTGCTGTATAAAGTGGACATGGTGTCACCTGCCTGCAATCCCAGCACTTAGGAGGTAGAGGATCAGAAGTTCAAGGTCGGTGCGTGACAGAGCTCAGTGGGGTAAGGTGCTTGCTGCTAAGTCTAATGACCTGATCCCCCAGAACTGCATGGTAGGAGAGAATCAGTTCTCACGAGCTGGCTTCTAACACCCCTACTCCCCCTACAGGCATATACACAAATAAGTAAATACACACATAAATAAATGTAACAGTAGATGAAGTTCAAGGTGGCACACACCAGCACTCGGGAGGCAGAGGCAGGTGGATCTCTGCGAATTCAAGGACAGCCTGGTCTACATAGTGAGTTCCAGGACAGCCTGGGCTACACAGAGAGGGTGTGTATCAAACACACACAGAGAGAGAGAGAGAGAGAGAGAGAGAGAGAGAGAGAGAGAGAGAGAGAAGACAGCTTCAGCTATGTAGCACCTTCCAGACCAATTGAGAGTACATGAAAGCCTGGGTGAGTAAATAAGAAATATTTTTAAAGATATTTATTTCTATGTATTTGTGTGAGTCTTTCGTCTGCATGTTTGTGTGGAAAACACATTTGTGGTGATGCCAGCAGAACCCAGAAAAGGACACGGGTCCCCTGGAACTGGAGTTATAGATGGTTAGGAGCCACAGTGTGGGTGCGGGGAACTGAACCCAGGTCCTTGGCAAGAGCAGTTGGTGCTCTTAATCCCCAAGCCAGCTCTTTAATCCCAATAAAAATTTTCTTTAAATTCAACATCATTCTCCACTACATAGTGAGTTTGACAATAGCCTGCACTTGAGACCCTTTCTCAAAACACAAAAACCCAAACCATGTTTTCATGGTGCCCACCCTGTGCTAGGCCCCAATTTAAAAAGTAAGTAAGTAAGTTAGCAAGTAAATAAATAAATTTTAAAAAGTGCATGGCCGAATTCCAGGCCTTTCTCTTCCTGGACAGGATAAATTTCCTTTTCTAACCCAACTGCCCAGCAGGTGGCAGCCATACACCAACCACTGCTGCTGCCGTAGTGAGTCCTGCTCTTCTGACAGATGGCTTGGGGAGGGAGTATCTATTTCTAACTCTCCCAAAGGCCTTATGAGTTAGCAGAGGCTCTTCATAAAATATCCATGTCAATACAGGTCTTGTATATTAAACAGACACAAGCAAGTGTAAAAAGGGAATCCCTGTGATAATGTGTGCTGCATACCACACCATGGTGCATCAGAGAACTTGGTTAGCATCATTGTCCTACAATAGTCACATCTTTATTAAACCCAGAGGAGGCAGGCACACACTCCCCACCAATGCCGGGAGGAAAAAAAACACCTCACAACCACACATGATTAATAGAGTTTACATTCTAAGCCGGGTGTTGAGGTACACGCCTTTGATCCCAGCACTCAGGAGGCAGAGGCCGGTGGATCTCTGTGAGCTCAAAGTCAGCCTGGTCTACAGAGCAAGCCCAGGCTACATAATGAGACCCTGTATCTAATTAGTTAATTTTACATTCTAATGGCAATGTCTGGTTATTTGTGTGTGTGTGTGTGTGTGTGTGTGTGTGTGTGTGTGTGTGCATGTGTGTATTGTGTGTGCGCACACACACAGGCACACTCGAATGTGTGCACGTTGGCATACACCACAGTTATATGGGGAAGTTGGAGGAGTCAGTTGTCTCCTTCCCTGATGTGGGTCCTGGGTGTGGATATTGAAGTCATCAGGCTTGGTGGCAGCAAAGCCCCTTTACTGGCTGGGCCATCCCACCAGCCCTGCTTATGAATTTTATTTTTTATTTATTTATTTATTTTTTTGGTTTTTCGAGACAAGGTTTCTCTGTGTAGTTTTGGTGCCTGTCCTGGATCTCGCTCTGTAGACCAGGCTGGCCTCGAATTCACAGAGATCTGCCTGCTCCTGTCCCTTGAGTGCTGGAATAAAAATCATGTGCTGCCATGCCAGGCCTCTGTTTATTAATTTTAGAAAGCTGTTGTTAGGGGCTGGAGAGCTGGCTCAGCTGTTAAAAGAACTTCTCATTCTTCCAGAAGACTCAGTTTGGTTCTCAATATCCATGTGTGTTAATTCACAGCCATGTGCAACTCCAGCTCCAGGGAATCTGATACTTTCTTTTGGCCTCCATGGGCACCCATACTCTTTCACACACATACAGTTAAAAAATTTAAATTCTGCCGGGCAGTGGTGGTGCACACCTTTAATCCCAGCACTTGGGAGGCAGAGCCAGGTGGATCTCTGTGAGTTCGAGGCCAGCCTGGGCTACAGAGTGAGTGAGTTCCAGGAAAGGAGCAAAGCTACACAGAGAAATCCTGTCTCCAAAAACCAAATAATAATAATAATAATAATAATAATAATAATAATAAAAAAAAATTTAAATTCTAAAACAATACTGCCTTAGTTTGGATTTCTATTGCTGTGAAGAGACACCATGACCACAGCAACTCTTATAAGGAAAATATTAATTGTGGTGGCTCATTTACAATTTCAGAAGTCTGTCCACTATCATCATGGCAGGAGCATGGTAGACTTCAAGTAGATGGTAGCTGAGAGTCCTACATCTTGCAGGCAACAGGAAGTTGACTGAGACACTGGGCAGTATCCTGAGCATAGGAAACCTCAAAGACCGCCCCCACAGTGACACACTTCCTGCAACAGGCCACACCTCCTAACAAAGCCACGCCTCCTAACAAGGCCACACCTCCTAACAATGCCACGCCTCCTAACAAAGCCACTCCCTAAGGGAATATGGGGGCCAATTACATTCAGACTAGCACAAATACCATCAGTAAAGTATTTGCCATTGCTCTCTTGATACCTTGTGCCCTTAAAACAGCCTTCTTCTTTAACTGGATTATTTTTTAAACAGGGTCACTAAACTATAACTCACAATAGACTGTATAAGGAACTCCCAATTGTAGGTAAGTTCTTATATGAAATACACCACATTCATATGTGGATTCTTCATGGGCCAGCCACAACACTACCACATCCAGGAACACACACACACTGGCATGAGGCCGCTGACATGGGAGACAACATTTGGCCCTGGTAACTCTGCCCCCCAGTTTTTTTCCCTATCCCCTTGAACTCCTGATCCTCCTGCCTCAGCCTCCCAAGAGCTGGGATGATAGGAGTGTACCATCATGCCTGATTTAGTCATGTGACTTTGGTCTGATGCAAGCAGATCAAGGTAAGCCTGATGCAAGCAGGGATATTTCCTCTCAAGATGCTGTCTCTTGGAGCCCGGACTCACTGTGCTGGCTAGTTTTGTCATCTGAGAGGAGGGAACCCCAACTGAGAAAACACCTCCATAAGATCAGGTTGTAAGCAAGCCTGTAGAGAATTTTCTTGGTTAGTGACTGATGGGGGAGGGCCCAGTCCATTGTGGGTGGTACCATCCCTGGGCTGCTGGTCCTGGGTTCTATAAGAAAACAGGCTAATCAAGCCATGAGAGCAAGCCAGTAAGCAGCACCCCTCCATGGCTTCTCCTGGACTACATGAAGAGATTGGTTCATCCAACAGTTGCCAGTATTCATCTGAGTTATCACATCTGTGACTGATTCAGTATTGGGTTCCAGCATAAGCTTCCAGCTTGCTTTGGCCATTTGAGTGACCAAAGCAAGATGCTTCCAGTTGAGCCCAGTCCAGATTGCAAAGCCACAGGCAATTGTGAGGTAAGTGTTTGATGCCCCATCCTGGGTTGCACTGGCCTTAAAATGCACTAATGTAATGTAGTAGTTACTTTTTTTTCTTCTGTGACCTGTGAGAAACATCTTAAGGGATGTATTTGGCTCACAGTTTCAGAGAATCTGGTCCACAGACCCACTGTGAGTCAGAGTTGTCAAGGCACTG